TATATACTTAAAATCTTCAAGACCACACTTGCGAAGAGGGTGGGACCGAGAGCAGGGCCTCCCCAGCAGATCTTAAAGCTCCAGTTGGCTCTTAAAGGGAGATGCATTTGAACAGGTAAGTTGGACTAGAATTGTTTATGGGCTTTATAGGCCAAAGGCAGCACTTTGAATTGGGCCCAGTAGGAAACTGGCAGCCAGTGGAGCTGACGCAACAGAGGAGTTGTATGCTCCCTATGTGCTGCTCCAGTAAGGAATCTGGCTGCTGTTTGTTGGACTACTTGAAGCTTCTGGGCCATCTTCAAAGGCAGCCCCATGTAGAGCATGTTGCAGTAGTCTATGCGAGATGTAACAAGAGCATGGACCATTGTGACCAAGTCTGACTTCCCAAGGTACAGACACACCTGGCGCATAAGTTTTAATTGTGCAAAAACTTCCCTGGCCACTGCTGAAACCTGGGGTTCTGGTCTCAACTATGAGTCCGGGATCACTCCGAAGCTGCAAACCTGCATTTTCAGGGGGAGTGCAACCCCGTTCATCACTGGCTGTAACCCTCTACACTGTTCGGCCTTATGACTGACCAGGACTACCGTTTGTTCACCCTCATCCAGACCATCACTGCCACCAAACAGTGGTTCAGGATCTGAACAGCCTCCTTAGCATTAGGTGGAAAAGAGCGATAGAGTTGGACATAATCTGCATACAGACGGCGTCGTAGTCCAAAACTCCGGATGATCTCCCCCAGCGGCTTCATGTAGATGTTAAACAACACGGGGGACAAGCAGGTGTTTCCCAACAACACCTTCTGATAATGACCCTCCAAGAAGGACTGAAGCCACTGAAAATCAATGCTTTCAAGGCCCAAGCCCCATTCCTGCGAGAAAAATGAGAGCAGAATATTTCAATTTCTACAAAGTTGAATTGCTTTTGAGGGAAAACCTAGGTTCAGTTTTATGATCTGTATATTTCAGATTTTAATATTTTGTCTGATACGGTTGAAATTCTTTTCTGAGCAGGATACATGACAATCTTATGATTTCCTGCAGTATTTGGTGTCTTGAAGAAGAAGATATAGGGCAGTATATTCATGGAAAGCCATCCTATCATCCTAGCTCAGTCTAGAGTCAGTTCTAGATTGTGAGAATCACAGGCCTTCTGCCTTCAGAACCCCCCAATTCTCATTCCTGTTTCTTTTGGCCTATAAGCTCTTTCTCTGCATGCTACACTGCTGTCAGATGACTCTGGTGTCTCTGGATAATGTCTTACTTGTTTCCATTGTACTACTTAAAGGGAGAAACCAAAAGAGCAAAGGGAGTAGACTTTAGTAGCCTTCGCTGTTATGAGGTGAGCCATAAAGTTAGATTTGGGAAGCATCTCTAATCTGATTTTATAGGTTCTGCTCCTCGTTCTGCTTCTGGTTGGCTTTTTCCACAAGGTAGTGCTAGGACATTGTGAATTCTGCAGTTTTCTTGTCCATATGCTGTCATCTGCATGAAACTGCTAGGAGAGGTCTGTTCCGAGGCATTTTATGTTTATCAGAAGCCAGTGTGGCTTTAACTGTTCAAAACCAGTGATGACTCATTGAGGGGGCAAATATAGAGTCGAATCGGACACAGTGAAAATGTTGTTGGTTGCATTTTCCAGGTGAAGGGTGTCCAATTTGGGTGGAATGGTTGTTCTCAGAACAGAATGGGGAAAAATCTGGCCAATGGGATGCATGTTGCCTAAATCATTTCTTTTTTAGATCCTTAAACTCTCAAAGCCTTCACGTTCTGTCCACAGTTGGGTTTTTGGAGATTTTTTTCAGACAGAAAGCTGTGCCACAATTCCCTAAATATAGCAGTTTCTTTAGCATCCAAGCTTGGAAAAGCTCCAGTAATTTTATATTTCATTTTGGCTGGGGAGATATAATTCTGTCACAGGAGTTAACATAGCCATTTTGCTGCATTCCTCACATAGATTTATTTATTTACTGTATTTGTATACCGCCTTTCTCAGCCAATTGGCGACTCAAGGCGGTTTCCAACAAATAAGTATACACAAAAGATAATAGACAAAAAACATTGAGCAGTATAAGACATCATAAAAACAATAAAAGCAACAGTTTTACAGTTGACAGGTTTACAGTTGATCAGGTTTACAGTTTAGCGCTATCAGTCAAGAATCATGACCTCTGTGGTTTGAAGCACCTTTTGATTAAGCTTAATTAGAAAAGTGATTGCTTTGCCATCATTATTCCTGTTTATGGGCCCAGTTTCCAGTTGTTAGTCTTAAAATTTGTAATGAAGTGATTTAAAATGCTCTTTATCCCCAAACACACAAATATACTAAGGCACTCAGTTGGACCACAATTGCCATTCTTCCTAGAAAATTTTGCCTGTTGTCCTTGTGATCAGATTGGTACTAGGTGAAGGCCTTTGTGTTAACTGTGTTCTTTTAAATAATAGTAATAAACTTATAATAATAAACTTTATTTATGCCCTGCCACCATCTCCCCAATGGGGACTCGGGGCAGCTTACATGAGGCCAAGCCCAGGCAAAATAAAACCAAAACATAAGCAACAAGCAACAGCATCAAAATTACATAAAAATATATGATAACATTCCAATAAACACAATCACAGTGACAGTGGGCGGGCCACATGTGCAGGATAAAATGTTAAAAAACTTAAATGAGTTAAGAATAGGAGCAAGTTATTTGCAGGGAGCTCATAAAGAAACACAGGGTTGTGAAACCAAACTTCCCATTAGGGGGACGTATACTCCATTGACAGAAGCATTGAGGGGAGCAGTAGTGTCATGTTGTACACCTACTCACCAAAGGCGCAGCAGAAGAGCCAGATTTTAAGGTTCTTTTTAAAGGTTTCTAGTGTAGGGGCATTTCTGATCTCTCCAGGTAGTGAGTTCCAGAGTTGAGGAGCCACAGAGGAGAAGGCTCTTTCCCTTGTGCCCACAAGACAAGCTTGTGAGATTGGGTTAACTGTGCAATAGTCTGCTTTTTACAGATTTTTTTTAAGTTGTTTTAATTCTAGTGTTGCTGTGAAATTTGTTCTATGTTCATATATTACTTTTGAATTCATTCTCCTTTTTATATTTAAATTGTTTTAAGGGGTTTTTTTTGTAAACTATTGAAGGGGCCGCACTCCCCCTGAAGATGCAGGTTCGCAGCTTGGGTGTGACCCTGGACTCATCGCTGAGCCTGGAACCCCAGGTTTCGGCGGTGCCCAGGGGAGCATTTGCACAGCTAAAGCTTGTGCGCCAGCTGCGCCCGTACCTTGGGAAGTCTGACTTGGCCACGGTAGTCCACGCTCTGGTTACATCCCGTTTAGACTACTGCAACGCTCTCTACGTGGGGTTGCCTTTGAAGACAGCTCGGAAGCTCCAACTAGTCCAACGCTCGGCAGCCATGATTTTAACAGGAGCGGAGCGCAGGGAGCATACAACCCCCCTGTTGCGCCACCTCCACTGGCTACCGATCTGCTACCGGGCTGAATTCAAAGTGCTGGCGTTGGCCTTTAAAGCCCTAAACGGTTCCGGCCCAAGCTACCTATCTGACCGCATCTCTGCCTATGAACCCACCAGGACTTTGAGATCTTCCGGGGAGACCCTGCTCTCGATCCCGCCTGCTCTCAAGCACGGCTGGCGGGGACGAGAGATAGGGCCTTCTCGGTGGTGGCTCCTCGGCTGTGGAACGCCCTTCCTACGGACATTAGACTAGCACCATCTCTAATGGTATTCCGCAAAAAAGTGAAGACCTGGCTGTTTGAGCAGGCGTTCGAATAATTAGTGCAATGATTGGTTAATGAACACTGGAATGGAACAATGGATGACGAATCTGGAACATGTTTTTGATGATGAGACGACAGTGAATGGGTATTGTAGTGACTGTTTATTAATTGTGTAATGTGTTAACTGTTTCTATACTGTAGCACTGAATTTTGCTGTTCGTATTTGTTGTGAACCACTGTGAGTCAAGAACAGCGGTATATAAGTAAGGTAAATAAATAATAAATAAATAAAGGATTTTATGTCATTGGACATCTTTCTAGTGTCATAAAAAGAGACAACCTATTTTTTTGCTCTGTGTATTTTGCCATAGTGTGCCACATTTGAAAAAATGTTTGTATGCATATTTGTATGTGAGTATTGGCACAAATATAAATGTTTGCATGGGTATTTCAAGAATTTGTTTTCTGTTAGACAAAAAAATCTTGTCAAAATATACAGTAAATGTTTTCTATTTAAATGTTCATAGAACTTTTCCCACCACAAAATGGAATATCAAAAATGTGACTTCAAATTATGCAAAGTCTGGGTAACATGAACACAGATAAATTGCTGAAGCATATGTTTTGCAAATGCCATGACTCCCTTTGAGAGATCTTCTAGGATTTGCAAGTTAAGAGCAAAAGGTTTATCTTTCAATTAAAGCTTTTTCAGTCTGAAAGCTCACTGGGTCTAGATTTTTTCCCAGTAGAACTCTTCAAGGACTTACTAGTTTTTTGCCTTCATAAAACATGATTCGTTGGAAAGGCTTCTTATATTAATAATTGAAAATCACTGTGATCTCAGTTTTGGAGAGTTAATCAGGCTCCTATGAGAGTAGGTCATAAATACTCATATTCTAGCTAATTATGGATGAAAACTCTTGGTGTAGATTTCAATATTTAATTTGAGGGACCACTATACAGTTCCTAATTGATCTGCCTTGGTTACAGAATCAATTTTAACTTGTACAGAACATTATAATTAGTGAGCTGGTGGACTGTTTGGAAACCCTGCAAAATAATGATTTTCTTTCTCCTAATTCATTTTATACGAGCTCATTTACTTGTTATGTTAGATTGACAGTGGTATGCTCTGACATTTGTTTTCATTTAATTGGGACGTTTGTCTGGTAGAACAACTTTTTGTATTATTTGATGAATAAGATTGCATTTACATGGCTTTTAAATATATTATAGAGACATCTTTTTAATTTTCTGATGATACTTTAAAAATAGGTGCAGGTCAAGCATTTTGCAAGATGAGTAACAGCCATCCACTCCGTCCTTACACGGCAGTAGGTGAAATTGACCACGTTCACATTCTCTCTGATCATGTTGGTGTCCTGATGAATGGGGAAGAGTACAGCGATGTTACCTTCATTGTGGAAAAGAAACGTTTTCCTGCACATAGAGTGATCCTGGCAGCACGGTGCCAGTATTTCAGGTGAAGTATAGTTTCCTGTGGGTGTACTTAAAGCTTCTGGGCAAGCAAGATCAAATTTAAAACTTACTTAATAGCGTATTGCTGCTTGAGTGCATCAAAGGTTTCTGAACACCTCTTCTGGCATGATATTTTTAAAAGTGAAATGAGACCTATATTATGCATTTTAACCTACATTCAATAGGAGTTTCAAGTCGATGAGTTATGCATATACAAGTGTAAAATCATCTTCAAGGATGATCTTACATTTGTACATGTATGACTCCTGGAAAAAGTGCTACATAAATTGATTTAGTAGTTCAATTTACATTGGAGTTGCCTTTATAAAGTACAAGCACATTTCAATTAATAAAACAGATGTATTCTTGGGTATTTAAATTTGGTAGCTGAGGCAGAAATAACATGGGAAGAAGAGGGAGAGTTCTTACACAACAACAACAGCAACAAAAGTAGCAATTCAGCATGTTTGAGCAAACTTTTTAGTAACAACTAATAATAATGTGCACATGTGGAATGAAACAAACAGGTTAGATAAGCTTTGGATGAATAAATTACTACATCTTGAACTTATCTGTCTATATATCTATCTGTCTAATTTGTCATCAGTCCACTCTTTTGGGCTTCATGCAAAGCTACCATTTTCCAAAATATATGATCCTGTGCTTTTCTTTTCTATTTCTGTCCAAATAGCTTAACCATTGGTTTGTCCCATCGAGTATGAGGTCTGCCCAAGGGCCGCTTCTGGTTTCTTGGTGTTCAATTTGTTAGCCAACATGTCCATTGTTTATCTTTTGTTCATGCCTGAACTTTTCAAAGACCACTTAAATGCTCCTTCCAAAATTCATCCAGGGATACTATTATGTCACTGTCCTCTGCTCTTCTCATGAATTCTGTTTTCGTGTCAAGCCTGCAAACCTGTGTTTTTAAATATGTTGGATGGAGCTGAAGAGGCAACCTTTTCACAGATATGTTAACTGAAGTCTGTCTGTAAGATGCATAGAGTTATATAGATAAATGTGAAATTTTACATTTTAAGTCTTTTTTTGTTTTCATTTTTGCTCTTCTTTTAAATTATGTAGTTTCTCCACATTCTGAAAAGTGACTCTTTCACCCACAGCCTCCAATACAACATGTTCAAGTTTATTCCTACCTAATACTGGAAATATTCAGGAAAGCAGAATAAAAGCTTACTTTTCTTACAAAATTGAGTGTATGTGCCTTTTAGATAGCACAACTATAGTAACCATCATTTCTGATTAATGACATTACTGAAAAGTGATTGGGATAGGCATTAACACGGAAGAGGAGGAGAAATGTAATTTATATCTCCCCCCCCCCCCCTTCTCTTTCTCTGTTTGTACAGAGCACTTTTATATGGTGGAATGCGTGAATCTCAGCCTGAAGCAGAAATCCCTCTCCAAGACACTACTGCAGAAGCCTTTACAATGTTGTTAAAATATATTTACACAGGCCGTGCCACATTAAGAGATGAGAAAGAGGAAGTTCTTTTAGATTTCTTGAGTTTGGCACATAAATATGGTTTCCCAGAACTGGAGGATTCAACCTCTGAGTATCTTTGTACCATCCTTAACATCCAGAATGTTTGCATGACCTACGATGTTGCTAGCCTCTACTTGCTTCCGAAACTGACATGTATGTGCTGCATGTTTATGGACAGAAATGCTCAAGAGGTTCTATCCAGTGAAGGATTTTTATCACTTTCTAAGGTATGTATATTTTTCCTTAGATTAAACTAAAAATGAAGTGAAAACACTGTATTCAGAGAGAACAATTTCTGTGCCATGACATCTTAGCTTAGTATGTTCCATGTACCTGAGATGAGCCATTGCAATGTGGTTTTTCCTTATTTTCTCCAAAAATATCAGTTTTTACAGAAGCTAACATGGCAGTTCAGAATTCACTAATGATAGTTGGGAACAAAGTATGCAATTATCAAGGCTTTCTTTGCATTGCATTCAGGAGTGCTTTTTTTCCACTGAAAATGACATAATTATTTGACAGATAAATGCAAAGAAGAAATATGTCAGAAATTGATGGATTAAGTCTTTGGCCAAAATATGCTTAATTTTGAATGCTGTATGATAAACAAATTAAAAATGAAAGAGAAATTAAGAGTAAAATCCAATATTGTACAAGGAGATACTTGGTTATACAATGGCACATTGCCCTCCTTTCCTCCACAGCTCTGCTGCATGCAGTCCCCAAATCTATTCCAAGCAGTTCCCTCCCACACTCCACTGATAGAAACAATTAGCGGGAGAGTTTAATTGGGAGGCAAAAAGCATTTAATATAGTGATTCTTACAACTTATAATAATAAATTGTTATTCAGAAAGCACAATCAGGTCAGAAAAGTTACCATGGAATATTAATATTAATATTTATTTCATTTGTATGCTGTTTTTCTCCCAGAGTGAGACCCAAGGTGACTTCAAAAAGCCAATTAAAAATACTACTAATAAAAAGTGTGGGGCAATCTTCATCCCTTCATACTGCCCAAAACTGTTTTTGAAGGGCTTTCCCAACTTTCCAAATGCATGTGGATGTGTATTGGAGGAAGGTTTTGATTTCATGGTTCTGTTGCATCGCACTTTATCAGTTTAGCAGTGTTTTGATGTTACCCCATTTTTATAGAATTCAACAAGGCATGTTTGGCTGCCCTGAGCACCATTTTTTGAAGGAAGGATAGCTATAAATATAATAATACTTAATATAAAACTAATATATGAATGCAAAATGATGTGAAATACAGTTTTTTAAAAGGTTGAGCTATCGTTGTATTAATTTTTCTCCTATTTACCTTTCAGCCAGCCCTTCTTAGTATTGTACTGAGGGATTCATTTGCAGCCCCTGAGAAGGATATTTTCCAAGCCTTGATGAACTGGTGTAAACAGAACCCCAAGGAAAGTCATGCAGAAATTATGCACGCTGTGCGCCTGCCACTGATGAGTTTGACAGAGCTTTTAAATGTTGTACGGCCTTCTGGATTACTATCACCTGATGCAATTCTGGATGCTATTAAAGTTCGATCGGAAAGTCGAGACATGGACCTCAACTATAGGGGCATGTTAAGTAAGTCTCAGTGTTCCCAATGTGCAGTGTTTATGCATTTCTTTGTAATTGAAAGCTTTATGGGCCATCAGTTGGGGCTAAATAAATGTTTATTAGCAGGAAATTGAGGATAAACCTTGACTAGCAAAAATAAAAGATCTTCACCATTCATATTTTAGTAGTCTTAGGATAGATGTGGTGCAATGGATATGTTTCTAGAAAAAAGATTCAACAACAAATCATTTATTTTCTCTGTGGTATATTCAGAGGTTGTGTAAGTGGAAGGTTGTCCTTGCAACAGATCTTTTGCTTTCCCTGTCTTTCTAAAATTTGAGGGTAGTTCTGTTTAACATGAGCCTGATTATGTGGGAATATTGAATGTGTGAATCTCGATTGGAATGATTTTCCATCAGACTGTATGCTGCTCATGATCCAAAGTATTCTGTGAAAGTGACAGAAACTATACAGTAGGTGTTTTTCATTCAAGGAAAATTACATTGTTGCAATTTTGTGTTGTTTCCATTTAGTGGTGGAAGAGCGTAATTTAAAACATTTTATCATTCTCATTCTTCTTAGTACCAGGCGAGAACATTGCTACCATGAAATACGGAGCCCAGGTCGTTAAAGGGGAACTTAAATCTGCTTTGTTAGACGGAGATACACAAAACTATGACTTGGATCATGGATTCTCCCGACATCCGATTGATGATGACTGTCGTTCTGGTATTGAAATTAAATTGGGTCAGCCATCTATAATCAACCATATACGAATATTACTATGGGATCGTGATAGCAGGTAGGTTCTTTTTCTCAGTCCAAACTTTCTGTTAGAATGCTGCAGGAAGGCTATATCCAAATGGCCAAGCTGTCCAATGGCATTAGAGGAGGAAATAATGGTGACTTTGTTAGAAAATGGAGGCACACATTTGAATATTTAGAAAGCAATACAAAGGTAGACTTTAAAATAGCAGCAAGGTGAAGTTATTAATATAAAGATAAAGGTAGTTTTTAATGAGATATTAGTTTTGTATTGAGTAGTGGTTCATGGCTGGTGGTTCACGGGTGGGGGGAGAGGGTGAGTGTGGTAGACAATATGTACTTGTATTATGTGTATCTGATGTATTTCTTTTATTTTCTTTTAAATTCTGTATACCACCTTTACACAATAAAATTTAATTTAAAAAATACTGCAGGAAGGGATAGGATCAAATAATGTTATCTTTGACTTTCACAGTAGTGTACAACTGCAACCATGACTTGCAGGATAAATGCATATAATTGTTCACTCCTTTCTTCAGAAATGTTTCACATACACCTGCATTTGAAACTGTACCCTAGTGATCAAAGGAAATAATAACAAGGACCCACATATTCAGGATTGTAGTTAGTTTGATTGAAACAAAATAAAAGGGCTAATTAAAAACAGTTCTGAGTACAAGAATAATATGAAATTAGTTAATAAAGTGTAATTTCATGATTGTGAAAGAAAATAAGGATGGAGTGTGCAGGCAAAATCCTATCCTGAAGGTAGAGCTGTTAAGATGGTTATAAGATTTGATGAAAGCCCTGCTGTCAACAAAACAAAGAATACATTGCTGCTTTTTGGAAATGCTGGTGGAGCATCTTAAACACTAACAGAATCATAAACATGGAATAACAATATGAGAAATATTGAGATAACAACACTTTAGTCTGCTCCAGGGTGAGCAATCTAGGGCCTTCCAGCTGTTTTGAGTTACACCATAACTTTTAATCATTTGCTATTTGACTGGGGTGAAAGGAATTATAACCTTAAAGATCTGGAGGGCCCTTCCACACAGCCTTATAATCCAGAGTATCAAGGCAGATAAACCTCAATATCTGCTTTGAACTGGATTATCTGCGTCCGCACTTCCCATATAATCCAGTTCAAAGCAGATCATGTGGGTTTTATACAGCTGTGTGGAAGGGACCTCAGATAACCCAGTTCAAAGCAGATGTTGTGGATTTGCCTTGATATTCTGAGTTATATGGCTGTTTGGAAGGACCCTATGTGGAAGGGACCTTGGAACTCTTTAAATATACATGAATATATTGATGTAGTTACTGCAATGAATATGATAAGCATATACAGATAGGAACTAGAAACTTCTGCTAGAAGAGAATCAATGCCTTTTGTAAATCTCGAATTTATAATAGCATAGAACAATTCATTTCTAATATGAGATTGATAGGTATGATGTAACATTCGTGTACTTGAACAAAAATGATTTAAAAGAGGATATTACATCAGATAAAGTTACCTGTTCAGTCTCCTTTAATTCTGTACTGCTGTTTATGAACTGCTAAATCTCCCCTAAACTTCCTTGCTGATGTACTGGCAATAGCTACCATGATTAAGGTTTAAATTTAGCCCATATAGGAGGGATACAAATTACTTTTTTATGATGTGGGTGTGTTAAATGTCTGCTTTTAATGTCCCATCATGTCTGAAGGAAGACTGCTTCATTTTATTGAGATTGTGAATTCAGCTATTAAAAAGACCTCCAAGCATTTTAACATGTATTCCTATTTCCGTATGAGATGCATCTGTGATACAAATATCAGTGAGAAGTGCAGTCTCGGCTGCATTAAAAATGAACCCATTTTTATATTTCCACTAAAGGTGTAATTCATTGCACATTTAGCTAGATGTTGTCTCATGAAATTTGTGTAACCTTAGCATTATGGGCTACTAGGATACATAAAGTATATATCTATAAAGTGAAGTTTGTTCACAGTTGATCTCAGTTTTTAAAATTAATTTATTTGCTGTTCAAAGGTCTTACTCCTATTACATTGAAGTGTCCATGGATGAGCTAGACTGGATTCGTGTGATCGATCACTCCAAATATCTCTGTCGTTCCTGGCAGAAATTGTATTTTCCTGCCCGTGTCTGTAGGTTAGTGCACATTTTCATTCAGTTTTTGTTAATGTCTGAGTACATTTTGGTGTTGTTGCATATAGTTAAAACATTTTATCCTATCAATTGGAATTGGAGTAAAAAGAGAAAATTAATGATTGAGGTAATTGTGTAATGACAGATTTTTGAACTATAGCTGTTAAGTTAAAATTTTACATTTATTTCTTCTATTTTTTCTTCCTTTATTCATCTATATTTTTATACATAATTCAATTGTATTTCAGTTTTTCTTCGTCCTCTAAACTGTCATAGTTCAGACTGCAAGTAAAAAATGCACAATAATATTTTTAGTTTGTTACATAATATAACCATTGAGAAGAAAAAAACATTTTTATCATTTCTGACATTGCTGGAGTATGCATTTTCTAATGGGACCATTCATAAAATCGTAAAGCTAACAATGTGTATTTCTATTAAATACCAATAAAAATGCATACCTGGCTAACATTGGGTAGTTAAGCTAGTTATTAATTAATTGTTGTTTTGAGTGAGTCATGCTCTCTGTCTCAAAGAAAGGTCCAGACAGACCTCTTTTAAATATATGTTGAAATGGTTGCCTTGAGCAAGTCACATTCTTTTGACCTTAAGTTATTTTCTCTCAACCTCAGAAGAAAGCCACGAGTAGTCCCGGGAATAATTTTTGTCATCCACTCCCCTTTTAAAAATATGTTTTAACACATTGATTGCTTCCTTGACTGATGAAGAAGTCCTGGCCATGTCCTTCAGATAGACCACATGATGGGCCCTTTCTAGAGGAGGGCATTTTGTGTGCTGCTCCAGCGACCACTACATCCTACTCTTTTGTAGAGGGCTGTATAAGTTCTCCTGGCTCATTCTTATCACCTAACCATTGAAAAAGCAACAGATCCACCCCTTCCTTACATGTCACACTTTCTTTGCCTCAGTTTGTGCCATGATCCCTTGTCTGTGTAAAACACTCCTTTTCCCTGTGCTACCGCACCCCCCCCCCCCATATAGACACACAATGTGTGTGTGTATACACATAAAAACACACTCCTTTCAGGTTTCCAAATAATTTTTTACATCTTTTCCTGATTCAGATGGAAAAAATAAGTGTATCCAAATACAAAAAAATAAACTTCTAGGAGCATAAACTATGAGAAATTCAAAGAGTAACATTAGTGTCTTGAAGGAATGCAATTAGTGGCTCTTTGAAGTCTTTGTGGGATTTTTAAAAAGCAGTGTCTTAAAAAGTAATAAAGTTTAGATTTTTTAAAAAGAAAATACTATCTTGTAAAATATTTTGTTTGGTTAATGCTTGCATTTCTTTCCCAATAAATTAAATATTGGTTGGAGTCATTGTGGAATGTACAATCATTTAGAAGCATTTGGGGTGCATGTTGGCGAAAAATGCACCTCTTTTCCTAATCTCTGCAGTTTTAAGCAGAGGTGGGGAACTTTTGGTCCTTCGGATATGTTTGAAATTCCAACTCTCTTCAGTTCATACCAACATCCAAAAAGCTAGGAATAGTTGGAATTATAGTTCAAAAACATCTAAAAACAACAAAGTTCTGCATTTCCGATTTAAAAGGAAAGATCCAAATAAATCTATTTTCTTGTGATTGGATGCCACTGTAACAATTTTTTTTTTCATTTCCCCTTTTCCCTCCAATTCATGCTATTATAAAAGGGGCCGCTGGCAATCTGCAAGCCACCCTGAGGGGTAACAGAACACATTTTGGAACTCTGGGAATTTATATGGCACTGAAGTAAGAATTGGGTACAGGAAACATGGCCTAGGGTTAACTGAAATGAAGTCATACCACATGATATAAATGAATTTTGGTAATAACTCCCAAGAGTTATCGGGAACAACCCTCTGTGTCCTTTAATATATCTTTAAAAGAGCAAGGGACAAAAGCATAGCCCACAGGAAGTATATAGTATTTATATTTAAGGGATTTTGCATTCTATCCAGATCTGCTCTTTTAGTAATAACACCTTAAGCATATGTAGAATAGGAGATGAGTTTACTGCCGTTCTTTTCTTAAATAGGCTGCTAAAAAGCTTTTTACTCAAACAGGCTATTAAATAATTTTGCAGAGTAGTAACTTTTGTGGAGTTGTTTACAAGGCTGTTTTAATACCAAATATAAGGGAATTTGTTCTTTGCCGTAAAGTATTGAATAAAACTTGTCACACTCTCAAAATAACAAATGAATACAAATGTGCAGATATACCACTAAACAGATGAGAAATAGCATGATTTGTCCTGTCTTTGCCAGCTCTGTGCAAAATTCCATGAATTTTCTGTGGTTAATTGTTGGTTCTTGTGATACTAGCTGATGCATTAAATATATGTTAACACTAAATTGCAGCAAGGTAAATTGACATCTTGATTTACTTATGTGCAAACTTAAATTGTGTGAAGTGAGAGAGCTCTAGGTCTGAACTGTACTGATTCCAGGAAAAAAGTACATAGTTTTTCAATATAATCTTGAGTGGAGTCAGTCTCAACACATAGTTCTTCCTGCGATATGCTTTTGTTCAGTGTTTCCTTCTAGACTTCTAATTTGTGGTCTTAGGCTGTTCTCAAAGCAATACCAGCATCATGTGAACATTACCACAAAGTCATACTGGAAGAACTTGTTTTATACAATGCACAAACAATTCTGGTTGGTTTATTAAAATGTAAATGTATTCCAGTAATTTTACAATAAATGTAGTCCCATTTAATCTGCCTAATCAGTCAGTCACTGCAGTATATTGCAGCCACTATTACAGGCCGAGATTGGTTTTGGGGGGATCTAAATTAGTTTTTGAAATGATGACTTTCCATGTGTAGTGCATTTCAACAGAGGCATGAGCAGTCTGGCGATTATATGTTTTTAATGGTTTTTATATGTTTTTATATTGTTATGCTGATTGTTTTTAATTGTATATTTTTATGAATGTATGGCATCGAATTGTTGCCAATCTGTAAACCGCCTTGAGTTGCCTTAGGGCTGCGAAAGGTGGGCTAGAAATGCCATAAATAAATAAATAAATAATAAAAAACTTATGGATGTAACCTATTATTAGTCAGTGGATTGAATCCACTTTCTGCTCCAGAGTGGATTATTTTGTGTAATGCACCAATGTTCATTGAGGAAAGAGAAACTATATCCAAATATTTATTTTCCTTCTTGCATAAATGGCAGCAAGAAAGATCTTCAAGTGCAAACATTTGAGGACAGTGCTGGTAACTGTTTTTTCAGCTTGTGGTTCTTGGCACCCAATTCAATGTGGTTGTTTAAAATTGTGATACCCTGTGTTTACATGCTTCTTTCAGCATGATGTGTAACCATGTCATTAAAAATACAAGACATTTTATTGATCTTAGAAGCACCTTGATACTGTGACCAAACACTGATTAAAGGAGCAAAAACTACTTGTCTTCAGCAAAAGGCTTCATTCTGAAGGATTAACTGATAACATTATTCAGATGGTACTGTTTTGGGGCGGAATACTGAACCTTTATCTGTGGTGGATTAGTTCTACTCTAATGCATCTAATTAGTGTGTGCTATTTTAAATGAAATGTCCATGGATGCAGGATTTCTGAAGCTGTTGATGTGAACCGATCATTCAGTTATCCAAGGAACTATTTTAATCTCTATAAAAGGATAAGATACATTAAAAACAAAACAAAAACAACTATAGTTCAACCAGATGAAACATTTGTATGACTTGGAATCACATTTTATTCCAGAATTTACAAACTTCCTGACCCACATGCACATTTTTGCAACACTGAAAGTTTTAAGGATGTTGTCAAGTTAATGTCATGGATGGATGCGGGTGGAATGACTAATGAAGAAAATACTCTTAGCTGGGACAAAAATATTGTTTACATTTTTGCCACCGAGAAGACATACATCTTTTCAAACTGATTTTTGATTTCTTGTCAGCATGTGTTTTCTGGTGTTGCATTTCTGTCGACATAGTACCATTCCAGGTTAAGGCACTCACTTGACATTTCCATTTTTATCTAGGTGAGGGTTAAAGAAGACTGCCCTATAGTAACAGTCTCAGAGGCAGACTGTCTGTGTTTTGTCTTAACATAAGTGAATATAGAAATAGCAATCCACTACAGATATTGTGCTTGTCCGAAAAAGTGCTATGCAGCCATGAGATTGACTGTTTGTACAAGCTAACATATCAGTGACACTTGTAGATACTTAACTGGTGTACTTAATTTGTGTTTCAATCATCATATTTTGTTGTTATGTGCCTTCAGTTCATTTATGATGTATAGTGTTTTTAAAGTGAACATATAACAGGATTTCTTGGCAAGATCTGTTGAGAGGAACTTGCCTTGGCCTTCTTCTGAGGCTGAGATGGTGTCACCTGATGGATTTCCATTGCTAAGTGGGGATTTGACCCCTGCTCTCTAGAGTTGTAGTGCAATCCTCAAACTACTATACCTGTCATCATTATAGTAGTTCCTGTATAATTTGGGTTGCATTTTATAATTTTACAATTTATTAAATGGTTGATTATGAAGATACTGAAAAATGTGAATGACAGCTTTGATATATCTCCATCTATTTTCCCATAAGGAGACCAGGTTGTTTGCTTAACCTGCATTCATAATACATTAATGCAATTTGTTCTGTTTAATGTTCTTAGCATGGAAGGGAAGGATCCACAGTTGGGTTGGAGTTCAATGGCTAAGAACTGTGAATTTCTATCTTGGCAGCTTTACTGCCTGCAATCTTGCCATAGGAGACAAACCAAAAACGTTAGGCTATGCCTTTGGCAATATGCCAGTGATCTATTTCCAAGTTTGCATTTTGCATTTAAAATTATAACTATTAACAGATATTAAAAATCTTACTGGAGCAGTCAACATTAGATGTTTCATAATAGCTTTTTGTAATTAGAAGCGTTGTTACTACACAGCACTGGTAGATTCAAGGATTGTGTGTGTACTAGTCTTATATCCATGGCTGATTCTTAACATTTTTCACTTTCACCC